ATGAAAATAAATAACTTTAATTATTGAATATTTATATACCTGGTGGCAAATTTCTCCTCATAACATTGTGTGCAGTAGATGTCATTGTCGCGTGGGATAAAGGAGCGAGTCCCAATTGGATTTTTGCAGACGACGCAGCAGAAGCACTTCTCATGCCACTGATGGCCCTTATACTCCATCTTCTTCGTACCTGTACAATTAAACAACCCAAGGCACGCGTGAAGACACATATATACATGTATATGTTGGTTATCGTCGTGAATATAAGTTTAGCTAAGCTGCTTTTATAAGTAGCAGACCCAAACCCAACCATTCAGTTGGTCCACTTACTCAAGCTCTGGGCGTCATTAATTTGTTAGCCAGTTTTTAGTTGCTTATCAGTATACCATCTGCCTCCTGTGTAATGAAAACAATCTACAGGTATCATTTCTACGCAATAACAGTAGTGACTTTTACACTGCAATCCTATATATATATCTCGGGTATAAGCTCAATCAGCATCTAATTTAATAGTGGTACCATATCCAGTCCCTGGAGGAATGGCGTCATTTCGCTGTTGGAAGACTGCCAAACGGGCCCGACCCAGGCACAAGTTAACAAATGCAGAAGCAACAGCAACCTGATACGAGAGCGAACTTTATATGTGAACCCCCTGGGGGGCGTATAAAGACTTCGTAAACCAAGCAACACGGCTGCGTGTCAGTGAGTTAGGAGTTGTGGGAACGACGTGTCACAATATTGGGAACTGACTGACGTGTCCCGCCCTTCTATATTTTTGCTACTAGATAGCATGTGATCTAATAGAGGTGGATTTGATGAAACTTTCGGGGACTAAATGAGTGGCTGCGCTTAAGTAATTTAGAGACAGGATATATCAATTGAAAAGTAAGCTTTATATATGGGATTTTTAAATCGACGAAATTCGTCGAGTAGCAGATAGTAGGTGACTTTGCACTTCCCAATTGATGTTTGGTATACAAATAGCTATAAGAGAACTTGCATACGCTGTCTCATTTCTAAAAAAATGACTACTAGCGGTCAATTAATTATAATTTATATAATTCCAAAAGTTTTTAATTGATTTTCAGTGTTGAAGTCATTGTCGTTTTAGATTTGCCAGCAGATTTGCACACAGACAAAAAAAAAGCGCAATCTACAAATAAAGCTCTTTATTATGAGCCTTATTTTCCATTTCAACGATTAAAATTCATTAAGAGCAAAACGATCAAACTAAGAGCATCAGAATATAATCTAATTATGAGCGAAATCGATATGGCGGTTTGTAACCGAGAAAGCAACACAAAAAAAAAGAAACTGGGCGTAGATTATATTGACAACAACAAACATGGAAATACATTAAAGACCGAACAAACGCTATCGATAGTTACAACGATGACGATTATTATTATCGTCACCATCAGGCGCCTCTATACACACTGGCAAAAACAGCGCCCGTGTGAAAAGCTCCGTTCGGTCTCCAATGGTATCGGACCGCATTACCAGACGTCAGCCACAGGTGCATTGAGCATCGATCATTCGGGTTGACAGACCCATGTCAAAAAGCGTCAACAGGCCCGTCTGCGCACGACTTCATGACCAGTTGATATATAGTAAGTGCAGCAGATTTTTAACTGTCATACATCTTTTTACCCTTGCACGTTTCCCTTCTCTGCGTATTTGATACGTGACACTGCTACAGTTACCGCTTCGGTGTCATTGACTCATCTGAGGATATGTAGTATATATAACGTAAAACCGAAACCAAGCAGATGAGCGACGGGCAATAATGCTATGACAAGGCGTGCCTCATTTTGACCGTAGTACTAGCCTACGTTGGCTGCTCATGATACGTCCAGTAAAACGCCTCACTCAACGTGACGTAGTCGACGTAACGGAGCTTGGCTCTAGACGAGCAGAATGAGATAGCAATAGTAACAGTAAAAACAATAGTCACATTGACCAAATAATAATTATAACGTCATCAAAACAATGACACTAAAACGTTAGTATAAACAATACAATACAATACACATATCAGCTAGTCTGACGCTAGCAGACAAATCCACACAACTTCACCCCACAGAAAAACACTACAGCCCAGAACGAAAAAAAGCAACGATCGAGCCCCGAGAAGGAAATCGTTACAGGTATGTGAGTGTAGATAGGTAGGTTCTGTTAGGACCGACTACAAAAGTCAAGAAACGGTGAAAAGAGGCGCTTTGAGAGGAAATCTTAATCGGGGAAAAGGAGAGGAAGAAAAGCCGTCAGCGAGCTATCGCATTATATATACGAACAAAAGACACAGATGAGAGTTTAAAAAAGTGACGTTGGATCGTCGGGCGTTCGATAGATGGAACCCAAAAAAAGAAGGTGCGTGCACGGGGCAAAGCGAAAGAGGCGCTTAATGATCGGTTTAATTTTTTCGAACTTTTCCTACTAAGGGAAAATTGCTAGTTTGGCTAAAATTCTGTTGGTTCCTGCCTATCCAACTGAATAGCAGATATCATCCGCGTGAGTGTGTGTGGAGGCAAGCATCGAGGTAGATATGTGGTAAAGCGGCTTTATAATGGCGAAATCAGAATGATAGCAGTTTGTAGGAGGGAGCACTGAATTGACGTGCTGGATCGTTTTTGCTTTTATAAATTTAGGCTGGTTTAGTTAACTAGGTCTGATGTTCGCCAAACGAAGAAAAATCGTAAGAGCTACTAGTTTATAGATGTCGCGATGGAAAACAAACATGTAAAACATTACAAATATTTGGTATGTAGTGAGCACTTTTGTATTTATATAGAGGTGTTGTTCGATGGATCCACTGATATCCACTCGAGCCGATTGTCCGTGAGTTAAGCACGGTTGCACATATAACTGCCAAAGTCCGACTTTTACAGGGACGCTATCTGAATAAATTTATTCGAGAATCGTATAAAAACAATCCATGAAAAGTCAGGAAAACCCTTTTGTATCGTCGTTATAAACATTCTGACAACACAACGATTCGCTCCTATTTGGGTAGCTACTGTCAACATTAAGTTCCTTTGTTCGGGCTGTAGCACACACACAAAACTGGGTCAGCCCGAACGGATGAATCGAGAGCTGGTGACATCCGCTTTTCGTTGACAGTCCCCTATCGTGTATTCAAAGAACGACTATAGGCTACGCAGAATGAAGCACATCGTCAACTGGTTTACGTAGATTTTTCTTGTCCCGATCGATACGATGTATTCATTGTCTCGCGATCAAGTCTGCTGGTTCCTGGACCTGGCATCATGGTTTGAAATAATCAAAAATAACTTACAGCATCTTAATGCTGTGCAATGATGAAGTGACATTACTGAGTGATAGAAATGCTTCAAGAGCTATCAAGGGGCATAACGTGTGCACAACTAACATGTCATTAAGGCTCATTCGCAAGGTTTGCGTCACGCTAATTGGCCTATCAGTCAGTGGTTATTGGGTGCTGTTGCAAGTGCCATTAAATCGGACGTATTTAATGTACTACAGTTTATTCGTATTAGAAATGAGTTTCGATTTATAGAAGGTGTTTTCCTGTTCTACAGTTCGTGTTTATCAAGCCGATGCAGTGCTTTATACGGGTAGGGCACCCGGTTGAAGGACACCGGAAGTCACTGATCCGATGCGCGCCAGTAACTCACAAGTACTATACAACTTAAGTGAATGAAAAATAGTTATCATCATTAGGCTCGTCAACTCCAGATTTTACGGCTGATTCCTTTCTGTTGCTTTTCTTCCGAAGTTACATACGAATCTGCGGGTATCGCCATCATTATAAAAACGCTTTGTGAATAGGTCTCCGCAAAAGTAAAGTGATATTTTAAAATGTTGGCATTGTCTAAATTAATTTCTAGTTATCGCTGATATCCAACATAAAATATACAGATTAGCTATTTGTTTGACAAAATTTGTCCAGCACTAGACGACATAAGTACTATCATTTATCTTTAGCTGTTTCCCGATTAGATTTACGTCTCTAGCGCTATTCGGGCCACTCAGAACGCAATTACATACAAAGTATTTCGCGAACATGTGCTGTCCTCTAATTCGAGTCAGCATTGACCTTGATAATGAAACTTCGCGCCCACATCCATACACACGCCTGAACGCAGCGTTGTCCTGCATGCAAACAGTAAAATGACAAAAGCGACTTTAGGGTCGAAGATCCCAAGGCCTCACTCCAAGGCCGATATGATAAAGGTCGGGGTAGTGACGGCCTTGGTACCTTTAAATCGATTACGGCTATGACAGCACAACAACATACAGCACTCAAGTCTCTCATGGGGACATCAGGCCGTTTCAGCTGCCGTCAGCGGCTGCTGCGCCAAAGCTGGCACAAGTTTATCATGGCAACAACTTCACGACGCTGATGACACTAGAATATAACCCTGCCCCCGTAAACTCTAGAGGTCAATGAGGCTAGACAGAAAGAAGGGCGGGCTACATGGCGGCTAAACTGTGTAACTTCAGCGGGGGAGCCCTGACGTAAACTGTGTCTGCATATCGTACGTTGCGGCCCTTGAGAATGATCTCATCTGAAGTGGTCATCGGGGCCGAACCAGTGACTGAAGGTTTTGGCAATGAAAACGCTAATCGGTAGGAAAAGGCTTAGCGTATATCAGCTGGAACCACCCTCGGAGCGGAAAGAACTGGTGAATTTGTTCGTTTATTATAGATAAACACATTTGTAGAGCGAGCTAAGACGATCAGATCATCTCAGAAAAAAGTTGCTACTTCTCAGAATGTAGCTCAGCTTAGACAGCTAGAATGTCTCAGCTAATGTAGCATAGCTGCTTTTACATTTGTCTTGTCTCCCCGTAGTACATGTGCGGCCAATAGCTGGATCTAATAGTAACTTGAAATACAGATTCATCAGTAATGAATTAGCCTCTATTGAGCGCATCGCCGTTGTTTGGGAGAGGAACAACACTTCCCGAAGTAATGGGGACCTCAACAAAAACCAATTCTATAGATGGCATACTTCACTCCATATCTTTTTAGCGCTACTGCTGTTGCCGTATTACTTTTCTTCAGAACTAATTTTAACTCTAGCCAGAGCACCATTGTATAGTTAATTCACTACAAATGCTATCGCCTTCGTCCACGCACAAGCCTGACCTCTAAAAGTTCAGAAGAACCTTCAAGCAACTGTTGTTGACAGAGGCTCTATCCTTTTAT